CGTACGCGCTTCATACAGCACGATTCGCACAGCTCTAAACGCGCTATTCGACACGCAATTCAACGTACAATTAGCTGCGGAATTCATCGCGCATAATTCGATGCGCGCTTCAATTCTGGAATGAATGCCGTACGCGCTTCATACAGCACGATTCACACAGCTCTAAATGCGCAATTCGATGCACAGTTCAATGTACAATTAGCCGCGGAATTCAACGCGCGCTTTACCGCATTATTTGATGCACGCCTCAAAACGCGCTTCCGCGTCGGAATGAATGCCGTACACGCTTCATACAGCGCGATTCGCATAGCTCTAATCGCGCAATTCGACATGCAATTCAACGTACAATCAGCCGCGGAATTCAACGCGCGCTTTGTTGCACAATTCGATGCGCGCTTCAAAACGCGCTTCCGCGTCGGAATGAATGCCGTACGCGCTTCATACAGCGCGATTCGCACAGCTCTAAACACGCAATTCGACGCGCAACTCAACGTACAATTAGCCGCGGAATTCAACGCGCACTTTAGCGCATAATTCGATGCGCACTTCATATGAATGCCGTACGCGCTTCATACAGCACGATTCACACAGCTCTAAATGCGCATTTCGATGCACAATTCAATGTACAATTAGCCGCGGAATTCAACGCGCGCTTTAGCGCATAATTTGATGCGCGTTTCAAAACGCGCTTCCGCGTCGGAATGAATGCCGTACACGCTTCATACAGCGCGATTCGCATAGCTCTAAACGCGCAATTCGACATGCAATTCAACGTACAATCAGCCGCGGGATTCAAAACGCGCTTTGTGCAACGGACCCACCGAAAAACACCCATGCCCACACGACAGCACGACCCAGGGGACGCCTCACAGCCCCGAAGCCAAATCCATACGATAGAATCCACTATCGCAATATGTACCCCATGACCAACACGGCCGTACGGCATAGCATAGCGCGTACGGCATAGCGTAGCATAGCATAGCGCGTACGGCATAGCGTAGCATAGCATAGCACGTACGGCATAGCGTAGCATAGCATAGCGCGTACGGCATAGCGTAGCATAACATAGCGCGTACGGCATAGCATAGTGCGTACGGCATAGCGTAGCATAGCATAGCGTGTACGGCGTAGCATAGCATAGCATAGCGCGTACGGCATAGCATAGCGCGTACGGTATAGCGTAGCATAGCATAGCGCGTACGGCATAGCGTAGCATAGCATAGCGCGTACGGCATAGCGTAGCATAGCATAGCGCGTACGGCATAGTATAGCGCGTACGGTATAGCGTAGCATAGCATAGCGCGTACGGCATAGCATAGCGCGTACGGCATAGCATAGCGCGTACGGCATAGCGTGGCATAGCATAGCGCGTACGGCATAGCATAGCGCGTACGGCATAGTGTAGCATAGCATAGCGCGTACGGCATAGCATAGCGCGTACGGCATAATGTAGCATAGCATAGCGCGTACGGCATAGCATAGCGCGTACGGCATAGTGTAGCATAGCATAGCGCGTACGACATAGCATAGCGCGTACGGCAGCGCGTACGGCATAGCATAGCGCGTACGGCATAGCGTAGCATAGCATAGCGCGTACGGCTAAATTTGCGTGCTAGGCTCCACAAGCTTAATTTTCTTCCGCCGGTGCGTAACACTGCACATCACGCAGCTGCACGTGCCGACCCGCAGGTGACGGCACAGCAGCGGCTGCATGACACTGCACAGTGTACATGTACACGCTATGACATACACGCCGTACGCGTCGTATGCGCTATGCCGTACGCGCTGTGCTGTGCCGTACGCCCTTAAGCGCCGTGCAACGCACGCAGCGACGGAGCTACGGCCCACACGCGCGAACAGCGCGCTCTAGTCCGTCGTTCCGTCTCTCCGTCTGTCCACCAAGTCGTCGGTTCAACCCTGAGCGCGATGTTCGCGCACTTTTTTTTCTCTTTTTTTTTCTCTTTATTTTTTTCTCTTTATTTTAATTCGGTGCTCGTTATGTGAACGACCTTTTTGCGGGATTCGACTGTGAACCTTGCGTACGATTCAAATGCTTGGCCGAAGCACACGCTTGCGCCCGCCGAATCCGAAGCCGAAGTGCACGATTCACGCGGGTCTGGATGCGTAATTCGGTGCGCAATTCAGCCTGCAAAGCTTTAGCGTGCATTTCGATGTGCGCTTCGACGCGTCATTCGATTCCGCTCCGAAACAAATGCCGTACGCGTTTCCTACAGGTTCTTCGATTGTGCTTCTCGTGATTCCCCTCCTCACTACGCGGAAATACTTTCCAGCTTCTTGCTCCTTCTGATCGATTCTTTTGCGTTATTCGCCGTTTACGAGCCCGTATTCTTCCCGGCTGAACTAATATACGTGTTCGCTTCGTCGGGTCCGCGTTCATGTCGGATCAGGTGCCTGTTTCGAAACGGCTTCGGCTTGGGTCCCTTGCGGACGGATTCCGTAGTGGAAGAACACGCCCGCTCGCTGATTTGAGTGCGCCTCGTGTAACTGAGCAACAGCAGCCTGCCGCATCGCAGCGGCAAGCCGTACCAACGGTTCCAGCGGGGCCCGCAGAGGACGGCCGCCAGCAGACGGCGGCTACTGCAGATACACAGCTGGAGGGGCGTCATCAGGATGCAGACCCTTCTGCTGCAGAAGTACGAGAGAGATGGCGGCGTCAGAAAGCTGTGCAGCGTGCGGCAGCCCTTCCTGAGTTACGGCTGCTGCAGCGGCAGCAGGACGCTGCGCGGCATGCGGCTGCCTGTGCTGTCCCGGAGGTGAGGGCACGGCAGCAGGTGTCTAACACTGCACAACATGCTGCTGCGCATGCTGATCCGGAGGTCAGGGCACAGCAGCAGGTGCGTGACACTGCACGCCACGCAGCTGCGCGTGCTGACCCGGAGGTTAGGGCGCAGCGGCAGCAGCGGAACACAGCACAGTATGCAGCTGCACTCGCTGACCCGGAGGTGAGGGCACGGCGGCAGGTGCGTGACACTGCATGGCGCGCAGCTGCACGTGCTGACCCGGAGGTGAGGGCGCATGAGCAGCAGCAGAATACGGCACAGCATGCAACTGCACGTGCTGACCCGGAAGTGAGGGTGCAGCAGCAGCTGCGTGACGCTGCACGGCATGCAGCTGCACGTGCTGACCCGGAGGTGAGGGCGCTCCAGCAGCAGCGGAATACGGCCCAGCATGCGGCTGCGCGGCAGGTGCAGCAGCAGAATCAGCAAGCCGCCCCTAGGGATACGCTGTTGGCTCGCATGCACCGTCTTCTACGATTCGCAGACCTTCATCATGGTGACGTGATTGAGTTGCCCGAGTTTCTTTTGGCGCTTCCAGAGGGCCGCGTGCAGGACCTTCCTGGCGGTCAGTTACCACCTGACAGGCAGGTACCGTACACCGTGCAGCTGCATGTGTGCCATGGCTGCTGCCTTGCGCCGGCGCATGCCCTCCCGTGTCTGTGCTGTGTGCTCTGAGGTGTGCTCGGAGGACCAGTCGACGGTGATGCACTGGACGGAGATTCCCAACGTTGACATTTTACGTGCCGACGTCATGTGTACGGATGCTGTGCAGCGCTGGGGGCGTACTCTGGTGTGGCGGCGGATGGCGCGTACAGCTCAGGGAGACGCACCGCCGCCACCTGATCCAGTCCTACCTGCTCGGTATCGTGTTAGCCGGGCTGAGCGAGCTGGTGCTGTGGATGAGGACGGCGGTAGTGCTAGTGGAGCAGGCAGGCTGGTGGATGATGCGGCGGACGGAGCACTGGACGTGGATGCTGGTGCTCAGGAGACTGGCGATCCGGATTTGACGACGGCTGGGCAGCAGCCCGAGCCCGAGCCCGAGCCCCAGCAGCTTCCACCGGATCAACAGCCGCGCCCACCGCGGGTGCTGCCCAGAGCCTGCCCGGACGACCCTGCTAGTGTGGAGGTGCCCTATTGCATGCGTCTGGAGCCGGACCTGCCCAACCGCACTATGCTGGTTGGCGATGGTGCTGCAGAGCACATATTCGTATGCAACATCTGCCACAAAGCCCTTAGCGGTGAGTCGTTTGCTCCGTGCTCGCAAGCCGGTTGCCTAGTGCCTATGAGCTGTGACTTCTGCCTGCGTTTCCTTGCTCCCTTCATCTGCGGCATGTACTTGTCTCTCCTACCTTTGCTGCCTACGTTCCTACTGCTTCCTTAGTCATATCGGCTCTGCTCGCCCATGTTTGCTCTTCTACTACAGCCCGCCGAGT